CAATGCAAGTGAAGGTTTATAGCTAACACATGCTTTTTAGCAAATACTTTCTGATTATGCAGAATATATTTATGTAGTTGTCATTCTGTATCACATTGGCCTGAAATACTGAAACAAAAGTTAAAATATTAAATTATATATGTCAAATTGGCTTTACCAATAAATTAATATGTATATTGTATACTCTAATATTTATAATAGTATATGATAGGTAATTTGTATGGTATAGCACCCTGTAAATACAGTATATTTAATATAATGGTGTATATTACATGATATTGGATAAGCTTTATGTATATTATATATTAATTAAAATAGCTTTAGGATTCTAAAATTTAAGGCTCATTTTTCTCTCCTTTAGAGGAAGTGATATATTTTTATCTTACTGTGGAACCGAAGGCACACGAGCTACTGTTTAACAGTAGAGACAGCGGGAACTCGAGATTGCAGGTTACTGCTTGTCCTGAAGCTCCAGAGACCCACCTCTGCACCTTTCCTCTCTCACCTGCAAATGGACAGGGTTGGCAGGGGCTGGCGTCGGTGTTTCCTTGGCTCTATCTCAGCTTCGCCGAGGAGCACCAGCCACCACCTCATTGGTTGTGGATGGTCAGGAAAGACGCAACTGGCCCCGTTGTCTTCAGATGGAAAGTCCCCTGCTGTTCTCCCTGCTGGCTTCCCTTTGCCTTCTAAGAAGGAGCAGGGCCTTTTCCTCAAAATCCACAACTTTTGAGCTGCAGTTTTCCTCTTTACCAGCTCATCTCCAAGCTCTAAGGGCTTGGTTCCTGCTTGGCGTGGGGCTGACTCTTGAGCACTTGAGCCCTCACAGTTTTGTGCAAGAGCAGAAAGGTGTGTGTTTGCTCTATCACTAGAAGGCTACACGAGAGACTGTGCAGGGTGTGGGGAGTGGGGTGCGGGGCGGGAGGCATCAGGAAGGGTAACTGGGTAGGCAGAGCTGGGGAACTTCTTTGGTCACAGGAGGCTTTAGGATGTTTGAACTGAATTTTGAAAGGCAGTTCCCTCCCAAGGGCCGGGGGAAGGCAGTGTAGGCATAAAGGTAAAGAGATGGTCATAAGCAACAGCAAGGTAAGGGTAGATACCCACTATGAAGTATTAAGGGAAAAAGCTATGGAGGGAGTTGAGGTTGCAGAGCAGAACAGATGATGTGGAAGCTTAAATACCCTGCAGGGATAAATTGACCATGAAGCAGGGAGTTACCATAATCAGATTTGCATTTTAGGCGGATTTCTGGTGCCATGAAAGGACAGGGAGAATGGGATGGGAGAAGAGATGATGAAAACATTAAATATTTTGGGGTGGAAGAAATCAAGGGGATGGGTGAGGTTACTGAAAGGAGCATGTAGAATGAACAGAGCATAAAGGCAGAGGGGAGAATGTGAGGCCCTCTTGCATTGATGGGTAAGTCTGCAAATGAGAGAAGGCCTGGAATCCTGCAACAGTCAGGACAGTGGGGTGTCAGAAGGGCCAAGGTGTTGCAGAAATAAATTCTAGCCTCTTACCTAGAAGAACAAGAGATACTTCAGGAATGGTATGGTCAGGAGAAGCTTTATTACTCATGCATGAAGTCTCAGACCTGGGTAGTCCCGTAAGGTCTGAGCACCAGTCTAGAGACAAAGGGTTTCTTTTATGCACAACCATCTTATGTTGTTAACACCGGTCAGTAAGCACAAAAGTTTGTGGCAAAAGACACGTATTCAACGATGCCCTGGGAGATCAAGCAGCCTTGCGGCTGTCTGCCCCTGTTAAAATGTAACCTCCTTTAGGTAATCTCATCTAGATAGGCTTTAGAGAAGCAAAACTTTGTTGTTTGCATTCACTTTGCATTATTTACTGCACCAGACCTGTGACTCTTTCAGCAGGAAACAGGAAAGATTTCATTTGCTTAGCTGATCCTTTTCAAAGGAAGAAGTTTCCAGAAGAGGAGAGTGACCAAGGTGTGAGGTTTACAACTTCCTTATAACACTAATGAGAAAAAAACTATCCCATCTGATGTCCAGTGATGTTATCTGAGGACCTGCATTCATTCTATACATCAAGTCACCAAAAGTTGAACCTCGGAAAAACCTGTCAATGACTTTAAGTGAGGACAGATAAAGGGTGTTTATTGGATGATTGGTGACTTTTATCAGAACACTCACTGCTATATTGGATTATAAGCCAGATGGTGGGGGCGTCCAGGAAGTAGATAATGGGAGAAGGTCATTCAGAATACAGGATTGGGATCACCCATGAATGTCACCCCAATCCTGGGCCTCCTTCTTGATGACTTTAGCTTCACTCCTGCCATCTAGTCCGATGCCGAGTCTGGCTATGAAGGTGGACTCCGAGGGTGACCTGGAGATCTGCTCTTCCTGGGTTTGAATCCCAGCTCCGTTGCTGATGGTCTATAATCCAGGGCAAGTTACTGAATCCGACTGGCCTTCTCTTTTCTCACCCATCAATTGAAGATGACAGAAGTATCTATCTCATGGGATTGTTAAGGATTAGAAGAATAAAGTATTTGCCTGGCACAGCATCAGTGCTCAGTGAACTTAGTTACCTGGAACCTGAAATGTATTCTCAGATGACCACAGTTTTGTTTTTTCCTTCTTTCAAAACAACTTTATTGTGGTATCATTTATATATTTTAAGCCCAATTTTCCCTGTAGAAATTTATTTTCCAGTAAATTTAGCTAGATGCAACCATACTTCCATCTAGCTCTAGAACATTTTCACCACCACAGTAAGATCCCTCATGCCCATATAGTTAATCTCCATTCCAGGCTAGGGCAAGCGCTTCTCACTTTCTGTCTATACAGACTTGCCTTTTCTGGGCACTGTGTATCAATGGAATGATGCAATATGTATCCTTTCATATCTGGCTTTCTTCACTTAATGCTTTTTTTAGGACTATCCCCATTTGCAGCTGTAGCAGAGCTTTATTTCTCTTCGTTGGTGAATTGTAGTCCATGGTGTGGATATATAATGTTTATCCTTTTACCATTTGTTAGTTTCCGCTCTTGCTATAATGAGTAATGTGCTGTGAACATTCGTGTGGGAGTCTTTGTGTGGACATTGCTTAATAGCTTCTTAATTGGTCCTTTAGCCTCCTTCAGGGGTCCCCTCTTCTGTTCTTGTCCCCCTTCCATCTGTTCTCTATCCTGTCACTAGGGTGTTCTTTCTAAAACGGAAATCTCATCTGGGCTTAAAGTTTATGCTTAGTGCCCACTGGCCCTTGGGATTAAATTCAGACTCCTCAACTTGAAGGATTTGCTAAGAGTCTTTAAAATCTACCATATGACTGACTCCCTGCTGCATCTTGTCTTTCACTAAATCCTGCCCCAGCTTTCTACTCAAACCATTCTTTTGTTCATGTTGTTTAATTCATTTATTTAACAATTTGTTCAGTTAACCACGCTTTTCCAGGCTCCAGGATATAACAGACAGATCAGCCAAATCCTTGCTTTCACAGAACTCTTTTTGGTGTGAAAGGCAGGTAATAAGTATGAAAGCACAGATAGCGGCATATACTACATATAAAGAAAATAAATATGATAGTTACTGGAGGCCCTCATGAATTAAGTCCCCAGACCTGTGTATCCTTGGGAGCCGCTGCCCTGTTGCCAACTGTCCACTTGATATATTCATTTGATGTCTGATGGTGACAAGCCCCGTTTCTCAGCTATGCCTTTGCTTCCCTCTTCTCCTATCTTATTCCTCCTCTTCTTAACTCCCACATACTCCTCTTTCCCAGCTGTAGCCCCACACCCTGCTGGCCTCCTGCAGCCTGGCTCAATGCCCCTGGCTCGATGCCCCTGTGGTGCTTTCCCTTCAAGTCCATCTCAGATGTAGGTGGTGCCCTTCTCATTATATTTCAGTGCATGGTGACTGTTTCTTCTGCTCTACTCTGAGCAACGAGGTGACAGTGAATGCCCAGTTTAGACTGGGTGCTGGCACATACTTGGGACATAACAAAATCTGTTCAAAGGGCGATCGTGATTAGCTTTGAACAGGAGGGAGGGAGGGACTCCATCTACTTTGGGACTAGAGGAAGTTGCTAAGGCCTGTTGCAGGCATAAATTAATTTGTAGGGTTAGGAGAGAAAGTTAAAGGACTGCTGATGGTTTACATCATCTCAGAGATTACAAGTAAGTGTACAGTGTAAAATGAGTAGAGTTAGTTATAATAAGCAATTCATGCACTAGAAGAAATGAAAAAGTAGTGCTGTGGGGTACATCTTAAAATCTTGAAACTGTTCTTTTTTTTTTTTTAAAGATTTTATTTATTTATTTATACAAGAACTGGGGGGCTTCCCCTGTGGCGCTGCGGTTGAGCACTGGGTTGCGAAGCTGCCCGCGGCCTCTGCGACGCCGGTTCGATCCCCGGCTGCTCCCAGGCCACCGGAGGAGGGTCCCACATGGCGCGCAGACCCCTCCTGCCGCCCGCTGCTCCCCTCAGCAGTGTACTTCGGTCCTTCTGCCTGCTCTGCTCCCCGCTCTGGCTCTGGTGAATTCTCTCACCCTCCCGCGCTTCTGACTGTACCCAGTGCTTGTATAAATAAATAAATAAATAAATCTTTAAAAAAAAAAAAAAAAAAAAAAAACTGGGGTACAGGCCAGATGCGCCAGAGGATGAGAGGATTCACCAGAGACAGAGTGGGGAACAGAACAGGCAGACTGACGAAATACATTGCTCAGGGGAGCAGCGGGCACGACAGGAGAGGTCTGCTGTGCCTTGTGGGACCCTTGCCGGCTGGCCGGGATCAAACTGGCGCTGCAGAGGCTGCAGACAGTTTCACAGTGCGGCGCTCAACCCCCTGCGCCACCAGGGGAGGCCCTTGAAACTGTTCTTACTTGCTTTTAGTTTTATAGCTATTCGATATAGCCTAATTTCTTTGGGCCATTTGTTATACATATTGACGTGGATGACTAAATTGCTTGGAAGCCATTGTACTGCTTTCTTACTCTTTTAGAATTGATTTTATTTTGATGTTGCTTTTTCAGCTTTCAGAAAATGTGATTGATCGTATGAAGGAAACCTCTCCATCCGGTTCGAAGCCTCAGCGGTTTTCTGGTGCTTACGGTGCCTCAGGTATTTCAGAATTTTAATTTTGAGTTTGTCAGACAAAAATTCTAACTGGTCAAAGTTCACTGGGTAGTCAAGTTTTCTGCATTTCTATCTTTTGTTATTTGGATGTTGGACTTTTTATGGGGAATAGAAATCAGTACCAGGATTTCTTTTAAAAACTCCATTTTGCATTACGGGGCAAACAAATCTACTTTCAGTTTTTGTAGTTACTTTTTTTTCATTCACCTCGTTAATCCTCTATTACTCTTTGGAAAGTTACTTCATGTCTTTGTGTTTGTTTGTGTGTATAATGGATGAATTATGGGGATGGAGATTGAGGAGTAAATATTTATGTAGAAAAAGATTGAACCTAGAAAATATTGAATATTTCCAAAAAGTGAAATACCACCAATGATTTTACTTTCTAATGGAAATAAAGAAAGTTTATTACTTCATAGCCAGTCTTAATTAATGATGAAGACACGACATGAGATGAAGTCCTTGGAGAATTCTTAAGGTTCATCTTGAGATCCTGCTGGATAAGCGACAAGAACCAGCTTCCCTGTCCTTCCTTGTCCCTCCCTCACTCACTTCTTCATTCCTCACTTACTTGTTGAGCACATACTTGTTGTATGTGTCTGGCACAACAGGTGCTCCCTGAGTATCTGGTGGACACACGTAGAAAGCTGCCCAATTTGATGAACGGACGTGCTGTTCATTAGTAAAATGGCAATGAGAAAATAATGGGGTTGATTAATCTTGGACTCAATGGGAACTTTCAACCTTTGTTAGAAAAAGGGGGGCTTGTGTGTGATAAGCATGTCTACCACCTACTCAATACAATGAGGAAGTGACCCGCATAGTAACCGTCGAGTCAGTAGCCATAAATTGAGCTTTTGATAGGTTTATAGCAGAGATGAATAAGAACTAGTTCTTGTTCTTTTGAGACGTCTTGTTTTGTAGGAAACGTCTTTGCTTATGGGGCTCACTCTTGATTTTCCTCCTCCCTTTTGCAGCCTCAGTCTAGTCTTCTTTGCTGATGTCCACTGTCACTTCCCAAATTAGACAGCTGCCTTCTTGAAATCTCCCTTAGTGATTATCAACTGAACATATTTAAAACAAGCTTTTGTATTCTTCCCCCTGATTTGCTACTCCTCTCCATCTGTCTCAAGTTAGCAGCATAGGTAGTCAAGCCCGAAGCCTGAGATTTGTTTTCTCTTTCCTTACATTACATCATTAGCTAGTCTGGTCAGCTGCATCTCTAAAACGTGTCTGAATGTGCAGCTTTCATGTCCCACTCTAGTGCTGCAGTTCCATCCAGATAACCAGCATCTCTTACCTTGTCTTCTGCAGAAGGCTCCTACTTCTACTCCTGTCCCTTCATGCTTTGCTGTGCGCCCAGAGGCCTCAGCAGTCTTTGCAGTGAAAAGTCACATCACATCCATGGTGGTGGAACTCTGTAGAACATAGACTATAATTTCAGCTCCTTCTGTTGGCCTCCAAGGCAACACCGGGACTGGTCCCTTCCTTCCTTTCCAGCTTCATCATCATCTCCTACCACCCTTTTTCCATTTACCCACAGCAACTATCATCTCTCCCTGAAGATAAATTTGTCCCTTGTGTTTAGCTGAATCCCAAGCTCTTAGGGATACTACTTGACTCTTAGCAAGAGTTCATAAAGTGTTTCTTGAATTAACTTAGGGCAGATCTCATTACTCTTTTAAATAGTAGTTATTCTTAATCACTTATATGGAGTATAATTTTATGAATTTCATTCAGCTGATGTCTGCTGAAATCTCACACTGTACAAGTAATAAAATTAGGTATTTTGAGAGGGCATAAAAAACAGTAAAAAAAACTCCCTCCTTTCAAAAAGTTTTGAGTTTTGGGGCAAAAACAACTAAATATATGATAGTATTATAGAAAAGATAGAAACATAGTATAAAAGAAACCTGAAGATATTGAAATTAAGAATATCAAGTATTTTGGCTTAAGAATACTTGTTGATTTTTGGATATTTTAAAATTGGGACTTGATTGGGAGTATTTGCTTTAGGTAGATGTCACTGTACTGTGTTGAGATAAGATGATGAAGATGATGAAAATATATGATGAAATAGTGACAAGTCACACTTCAATGATATTTAATAGCAGGTATTCTGCTAACTCCTTTATAAGAAGTCGTATTTAATCTAATCCTTCCTCATCACCCTGTAAAGGAGGGACTGTTACGAACCCATTTCACATTGAAGTTAACAGACGGGAGTGATAGTCCTGCCAGAGTCACACGGCTGGTAAACAGGGAGGTGACAGTTGCATTCAAGTCTGTTTGGCTCCAGAGCAGATGCTGTAAAACACTATTTTATTATCATTTGAATAACACCTTGCTTCATGTGCAAGGAAGAATGTGACAGAAACTAGCTGGGGGAAAGGATTGCCTTTTTCATGTTTTCTTGGGTTGGTTCTTAGCTGAGACTGGAGAGAGGGGAAGCTTGCTGAGGCTGCTGCTCCCGGTCTGGCCCACTGAGTACCATGCTGATGTTGAGATAGCTTGGCTGTGCCATGGAACCTTCCTTCCCCTTCCTTACACGGCTGTGCTGTGGAACCTTCCTTCCCCAGAGTCCTGACTGAGGACTCTGGCTTAGGGCCAGCCTGGGCACCAAAATCTCCTTGAATGTCACTGTGCCTTTTGGTGTTTAGTGTAGAAGCCACGAGTTACGTGGGGCTATTAAGACTTAAAATTAATTAAAATGAAATAAAATTTTCAGCTCTTCAGTTGCTCTGTTCACATTTCACTGCTCCATCACCCCATGTGGCTGGGGGCTGCCATTTTGAACAGCACAGATGCAGACATGTCCTCATCATGGAAAGCTCCTGCTGGGGTACAGCAGTGCCTGGCATCGTGAGCTTCGTCAGCTGATCTCAGTGATGTAACTGAGCTGTGGAACGGGAAGACTTCTGTGTGTTTTTGAATCTTTCTTGCCTTTTCCACATTGTTGGCCCCTGCAGAATTGTCAGTAAGTGGAAACCAGGGACTGTTTCCCTGAGGTTTACTCTCTGTACCCCAGTCTTCAGCCCAGCTTCTTCACCTGTTTGTTCTGGGTATTGGCTCCTGACACTCAGAGGCTGGGAAGACCTGGACATGGTGTTGTGCTATGCTCTGTGTGCTGTAAAATACTGGCTTTGTCTGTTCCATGTTGTGAAAAAGGCACAGCAAGTCTCTCTGAGTATATTTTTCTGCCCTGTTGCAACCCATGCCCTTTTGAAATGATCTTACCTTTCTTTAGCTAAGAATGCAATTAGATTATGATTGTGTTGTGAATTAAGGTTTATGTTTATTAAAATGGAAAAGTTTTATTTATGAAAGTAGAAACCCAGAAAGTTCTAGTCTCTTCTGAGTTTCATTTGCGGGTTTAGTTAGTACTCAAGAAATAGATTTCTTAAGATTTATAATTCAGATGTGTTTTTCAAGAAATAATTTTTCAAGTCTACAAAAATGTATTGATAAAACTGTCACCAGCCTTTTCTACATTTTTCAGTGTCAGGTAAGTTATATATTAAGTGTGAGTTGAATTTTCAATATTTATTAAGATGCTTTCTTCTCCCAGAACCCTAATTCAGACCAGCCCCAGGTTATTCATGTGTGTGAATACAGGGCCGTGACAGAGAGTCCTAGGATTTCTGTGCATAGGGACTAAGTTTTGTCATATAAATATAGTTTTGAGAATGTAATTTATGTTGTAAGAAAGTGAGTCCCTCTCAAGACTTGACTGAGACTATTTTTTTGCCAAACCTTGAACTAGATCAATGACTCGTTGCAATAAGTATTTGCATGTAGAGCTGCTCAGGCAAAATAATATACTGTGTGACACGCAACAGATTGTAATGCCACTTTAATAAATGGATATGCTCTAAAGAACTTAACTGTGTCCTTGCTGTCTCAAATTTTTTTGTTGTCTTACATTGTTCTCTCAACTATGTTGGTTTGCATTTATTCAGGGGAGTTTTTTTATTTTTTTGAAGATTGACATAGGGACATACCATTATAAGTATATAATTATAAACTTAGCTTATCATTAATACCTTACATCTTTTGATTTTAAGAATTAATGTTGGATATGGATTTTTTCCCTTTCTACCCTGATTCTTTAGTTTTTCTGGCTTGGATCAGATCCTACCTAACACCGAGGAAACTGCCCCCAGATCAGTAGGAAAAAAACCAGACAAGAAGTGACATTAGGATGCTATCTGTTGGTTTCCTAAGCTACTAGTCACCAGATGAAAATGATGAAGCTGGAACAAAAGACAAATGAAGTCACTGTTATTATTACCCTCACTGTGCAAGTTTCCCTGTAAATTTCTTGTCATTGTGAAAAATAAGGTAGATTTGTCGATTTGTGTTAAGTATATCACTGAGATCACTAAGTATTTGGCAGCTTTAACAAATTGCAGGAAACCGATTTAAGCAGGAAATAATACAACCCAAACTCAATAGCCAATTTAGAGAAACAGATTCATCTGTATGCTCTGTGTGTTTTTTCCCCCAGAATCTGGCCCTCCTAGTTATTTTTAAACAGCTCTTTAAGGCTCATTTAGACATACTACTGTAGGGAGAGTTCAAAGTAAATAAGCTGCTATTCCTTTGACTTGAGTTACAGTTACTGAAGGCAGTTGTAATATCTCGGTTTCCAACTTTTAATATATGAAAATTTGTTGATGCCAGTATGTCAACGCTGCACTTCTTGTCTACGCTGTAATAGATAATTTGCCTGACAGTTCTTAAAAGAAGGAAATATGTATATTATTGATTTAAAGGTTTAAATCAAATCCTGTAGTCAGTGTATTCTGTTCTTAAAAAGAAATCCACGATCAGTCTACAGTTAATGGATGAGTGAACTCCTATTGTTAGTTCCATCAGTCAACAGTCTCCTTGACTTCAAGGAACTATTGGTTTGGTAAAAGCGTATTTAACATTCTAGTTTGTATCTTTCCCTTGCTCAGTTAATGTTCATGAGAAGGTGAGTG